CTGAAACAATGTCCCAGAATGGGCCAGACAAATAGAAATTAAGGAATAAAGTTTTCCTACACTCCCAGAGTATGTTCTTCTAGGCCACTAAGAACAGGTTATGCTCCTTGTAGGGGAACTCAGTGCCTTGCTTTGTCACAGAGATAAACCTGTTTATCCAGTGTGGCTTTTAGGACCAGTTTGGTGTTTTCTGTGAATGTAGGGACCCTGGGTTAAGAAGGAGGTGAACAAGAAATTATGCATAGCCAGAATCCAAGAGTGCTACTTGTCTGTACTTCAGCCTACTAAAACTGTATGCAATCCTGGTGCTTGATTTTACACTATTGCCTTTTTATGTTTGTAATCCACACAATATGTAGCTACTCCTGACCCACTTTTTTTCTTAGCACATTTCTTAAAAGAAGATGGCAGTTTTAATTTAAGGTTTCCTATGTTTGTAGTTTGCCTACATGCATGTCTGTGTACCACTTGTATTTCTGGTACCTATCAAAGCCAGAAGTGGATGTCAGATTCCCTGCAACTGGAATAAAAGATGACTATGAGCTTCCATGTCAATGCTAGAAATCAACCCTATGTCCCCAATAAAAGTAATCACTGCTGTTACTTGCAAAGCAAAGCCTTTGCTACATCTCCTCAGTTTTTGCCCCCATTATAGGAAATCTGTTTGATCTTGTCTCTGTTAGACTTTATTGCTATTGTGTATTTAGTAGAGTTTTTTTTACAACAGGCTCTCAGGTAGCCCATAGTGACCTTGATCTCATTTGAATCCTTGAAATTCTGTTCCTTCTTCTGTGTTTCAAGTGCTGGGATTGCAAGTGTGCACCACGACCACAGCTGTTTTGGGTCGCAGCATCTCCTCTGACTCCGTCTTTCTTCTTGCTGTATCTCTCTTGGATTACCCACTTCATTCTGTTCTGCCTTGTCATAGGCCAAAGCAGCTTCTTTATTAACCAATGGAAGCAACACACATTCACAGAATACAGAAAAACAATCCCACAGTAGCTATGCATGTCTGACTTTATGACTTGGTGGGTTGGATAACACCCAGATGACAATGGGCAGTTCAGGTCACATGATAAGGTAGTGGCCACAGTCAAATGTTCAGTTTCTCCCAATGACTAGAATTAATGGAATGTGCTCTCATGCTTGGCCATATTTATTTTTGAAAATGATTTTATGGGCACCAGTACTAGAAACTTCAAATGACTTTAAGAGGTATAGTGTTGTTCTAATTCTCCAATGCTCTTTTTATTGTATGTAATTCAGTTCTCTCTCTTGCTCTCTCTCTCTGTCTCTCTGTCTCTGTCTCTCTGTATGTGTGTGTGTGTGTGTGTGTGTGTGTGTGTGTGTGTGTGTGTGTGTTGTGTAGACTGTGGCACAGGCTTTAAAACTCACAATGATCTTCCTGCCTCTGTGCCCAGTTTGCTGGCAGTAAAAGAATGTACTACTGCTTGCAGCTTGAAAAATAACTTTTATGGTCAAAGACTCCACTTCTTATGGTGGACAGAGAAGCAAGGAGATGTTGTCAGGACTCCTGATACTGGAGTTTGAGATATTAGTGACTCTCCATATGTACTGGGAATGGAAGCTGAATGCTCTGAAAGAATCTTCAGTGCTCTTAACTGATAAGGTATTTTCCAACCTAAGTTTTCTATTCTTGATTATGTTTCCTGTCCAAGGTAACCCAGTCAAGGTCAGATACCAGATGCTGATTAAAAAGTAGAGTTCTGAGAGAATTAACCTCAGACAAAGATGGGCTCCCTAATTCTTTAGCCAATACAACATGGTCAGCCCATTTTCCATATAGATATAAAGCCAATAAATATAGATGCAGCAGATTGTATTAATATATTTCAGCATACTTATTCACCTACACTTAAAAACAGGAGAATTTGGAAAGGATTTGGGAAGGGATGGAATGAAGAGATAAAAGGGGAAAGTGATGTAATATCTTTCATTTAAAAATTTATGAAAATAAATTTTAAATAAAAAAGGAGCTAGATTGACAGCTCAGCAATTAAGAGCACTGGGTGTTTTTATAGAGGACCCAGGTTCCATTCACAGAACCCACATGGTAGCTAACCATTTGTTGTAACTCTAGTCCCAGTCATCTCCTGCTTTCTTCTGCCCTTGGTAGGCACAGCACACAGACACATACAGGCAAAGCACTGTATAAATATTTTGTAATAAAAAGTTATAGAAAGGAAAGAATGAAATTATTTAGAGTGATGTCACAGCCCTGAGCCATAAAACAAGCCAGGGGTCATTCAAATGAACTCCTGTTGGTCTTGCAGAGAAACAGCTGTGACCTTTTGCTAAGCCAGCCTGCTCAGAGGGAAAAGCAATCTTGTTCTGAGGTTAACATTTAACATTTCTCTATTCTATTGGTGGTTCTTGCCTTTGTAATTTCCCTTTGTAATCCTAAATTTTTCATTTCTGGAATTCCCTCAGTTTCTGTTTTCTTCATTGTATTCATTTCTATTTTTAGGACTTAAACAGTAGTATTTGTTTCCTTTAACAATTTGTTTGCTTTATATTGGCTTTATTTAAGAGGTTTATTGTTTTATTCCAATTGTTTTCATTTTCCTAGCTTTCTGGGAGGAGTTTATTGATTTCCTCCCATTGTTTGTTTGTTTGTTTGTACTTTCATGAATTTATATAATGTATTTATTCATCTTTTAAGGGGGCTCTATTCACTCTATATATTTGGTTTTTAGTTCTTTGTCCCTTGTATTTCAATTGTTTTGTGTACTTAGGGCCTGCTGTGGTAGGATACCTGGGTTGTCGTGGTGACTTAGTGCCCTGGCTTTTATTAATTATGTTCCTCTGCTAGGCATCTGGGTTTAGGGTGATAATAGGTCTAGGTGCTGGTTTCTAACTTCATCTTTTTTGCATGGGAGTTTTGTTCCTGGGTTTGTGTTTTTTTCTCTGGAGTTTCAGAAGGCGTGTTGAGTGACTGTTGCCTTTTTCATGGCCTTCTTGGCTGATGTGTTCAAGGGAAAATTCTTGGTGGTGTTGGAATCTGGAGGAAGAGGAATGCAGGGGAGATGATCTTCAGGTGCACTGGAGGCATGCAGAAGGAAGAGAGTAAGCTGTCTCTGATGTTCTACTCCACTGATAGGTGCAATTTTTAAAATCAGTTGTGGGGTAAGAGACAATGTAGTAGATCTGCAGACATCCTAACTCAGCTTCTGGAAGATGTGGTGAGTAAATGACCAGAGGGTGTCCACCCCAGTTGTGTGATGGGACTCAGATATGAAGTGAGTAGGGAAGGGTAGGTTGGGATGGTCTTTGGAATCCACAGGAGACAGGGAAAGGAAGAGGAGAAGCTGCAGCTGAAGTTCTGTTTTAGCCCTCAGGGTAATCCTGAGTATTGGATCCCTGAGAGTGGGGAATGTCTGTGGATAGTCTTCCTGGTCCCATACCCAACATCTTAATACTGATTCATTGGGTTCCCAGGGATCATTTATTTACTTATTTAGGCTTCTGTTGTGGTTAATCTGTGAAAGACATTTCGTTTATTGGAAAAAAAAGTAGTATTTGGGATGCAAATGTCACTCAACAAGTACTCTTCTTGGGGAAGTTCAGATATGAGCACCCAAGTTTGGAGGCTTATAATCAACTGCAATTCCAGATCCAGGGGATCTGACATGCTCTTTGTTTTGTCACCTATACACACATGGAAAATATTCCTTCACATACATATAAACAATGCATCTAGACTTGTTTTCAAAAGCTGTTGTGACTTATAAAGCAATTAGAGAAATCAGTTTGCTTTATGTATATAATAAAATCTTACAATATCTTTAAAAAATATTGTTTTTCATTTATTTAATTTTTTCCCCTCTCTGATACAGGTTTACGTCTAATCTTCAATCATAGGAAACAAAATTTTTTCTAAATTTTCTAACAGACATCCTTTTCTTTATCAAAGGAGAATGAGATAGTATTAGTAGACAAAACTATATTTCACAATGTAGAAATATCAGGATTCAAGTGAATGATTCCAATTTTGGTGGAACAGTCTCCTTACCCAACCCATTTTCTATTATTGGTGAAGGAGAGAACTGGAGTACACAGGGTGAGTGGTGGTCAGTGATTTCTCTGATTTTGATTTTCATTAGAAACTTATAATTCTATTTTAAGAGACAAAGTTATATTTGTAGGTCTGTCTTTCTGTCTCCTTTTATCAGTGGTAGCATCTGTGTTGTGTGAGGTTTTTTGTATTAGCTATGATGTAGTTATATTACTTCTCTGGCAAATGATGGAACTTCACTTATTTTTATTTTATGGAAAATTACTACATTATGTTAGGATCTCCTCAGGTTTTTCAATTGGAGATTTTCTGTAAAAGAGCAATTTTAGTTTTCTCTTCTTGATCTCAGAAACTTATATATCTTCATTTCTTGGTGTATCTGTTTTGCTACTTGTTATCATCATCAATGTTTTTTTTGCTACTCAAGTTATTGATGTAGTTGATTCATTGGGTTTGGGTTTGTAAAGTCTCATATATTATTATCTCTGTGTCTGAGTTACTTTGAGATGTCAACATTTCAGAGCCCACAGTCACCTTTTGGAACATCTGATGAAGATGTGCTACATTAGAACTACTAGTTGCTAATTCTGTTAGAGATTTTGTTGATTGATGATTTATGGGTGATAGCCTTCACTGAGTGTGCAATATCCCTAGGAAAGTTGGCCTGCACTAGATAAGACAGCAAGTTTGTCATAAAATACAATGACTATGTTAGAGAGAAAGCCTGGAAACAAAGATTCCTCATGGTTTTTGCTTTCAGTTGCTAGATTGAATACCTATCCTAAACACTGACAATGGTGGATTGTGATCTGGCAGAATGAGCCAAATAAGCACATTTATTACCTAGGTGCTTTTGTGTAGAGAATTGAATCAAAGCAAGAAAAAAGCAAGTTGTAACAGAATGTGGTAAGCCAAAAGTGATTTTGTTGTTCAAAGGTGCTGGGAATGATGACTTTTGGGGGGAATGTTGAGCATATCAAAATTTAGATATGTTGAGCATAGAAAAATTGGTGAAGGAGAGAACTGGAGTGCACAGGTGAGTGGTGGTCAGTGATTTCTCTGATTTTGATTTTGGCAGAGGACATAGAAAGCTGCACACAGAGCTTAACTGGTTATTCTTGTAGTACTTTGAATAAAGTACTCTTAAAGGTATTGTGAACAGTGGAGGTAGAGGTCAAAGGATTTTTTAGGGAATTGAAATAGAAGTCATTTGTATGATATTTTGGCCCCTAACTTTTCTCATTTTGTCGATGTCCTCAAGAAATTGAGTAAGGCAGAAATAAAAAAAAATAATGGGGCTGATTTCTTAAAGGGAATATTGACTCTCTTGGATAGCTATTACTTATGATTCATTCAGTACTACATTAAAAAAAATCAAGAAATGGATCATAAAGAAATGAAAAGTCTCGAGGTTGTAGAGAAAAACAGCACTATGACTTTGCAGAAGGTAGTCAAATGCTGAAAAGAGTCATCAATGTTCAGGGAGATTATCACTATTAAAAAGGTGTCCCTTACTGTACATTGGAAGCTTAGCAAGGTGCACTAAGGGTTAGAATCCATCCTTATATGCCCTCAGTTAATGGAGAGATTAGGCAAAGTGATTGCCAGTCCCAGGAAGCAACTTTATTCAAGGCCTGCAGCAACTCTGGTCCAAGTATGGCAGAGGCCATCACAACTTACAAACCAAATTTGGGGGAATCATTGATGTTGACCTGGTTATGGAGACAAGAATGATATAAAATTTAAGATTATGCATTTTTAGTCTGCATTTTCAGATCAGCTCTGTTGTAGGCATCTGTGTTATTTGTATGGTAAGATCACCAATGAGAAGACTGTGTAAGTTCATTACATGATACTATAAGGATGAAACCTGAGTTGTATTTTGAGACCATAAGATGTTGAAATACTTAAGCTATGAGACATCTTACATGGAGAGCTAGCTACATATATGGAGTGGAAGTAATCATAGAGAGAGATGTATGGGAAGTTGTGGAGAGAGAGACATTTAAGCCCTTTGAAAATGAAGCCCTATGTCTCTGACACAGAAGTACCAGATTCAATGGTTGCCCTGCTGGGTTTCAGTCTTTCCTCACTGTGTCTTAGTTTCTCTCCTTTGGGATGGTAATGGGTTTTCTGTGTCATTCACATGTTGGAAATATTTAAATTGTTTTCTCATTTTATAAGATGCCACAACCAAGAATTTGTCTTGAGTGTCAAAAGAGACTTTGGACATTTCAACTGTGTAGGGGTTGTTGCAGACTATGAGAATCATTGAAGTGACTAAATGCATTTTCTTCAAGGATGACCCTTGAGCCTATAGTGACCTGGGTGAGAATCTAGTCAACTGAATGACAAGCTCCCAGATAGGATGAGGTATTTGAACATGTGTCTCTCCTTGTTGAATTTCTTTGGGGTACTTGCGGAACCTCTCTGGATAAAATATCTCATTGAGGTTTGTGATATGTGTTTCCATAAACTCAACACATTTCCTTTTCTATGCTTCTACTATGTTGTGGTTGAAATGAATCAGCCAACTTTCTTCTTCTGCTGCCATAACTTCACCACCAGTATAGATAGTATCACTAAATCACATAAAATACAATTGATGGAATTGGTATTCAATGTTAAGTCACTTTGTTAGCCTGAATGTTTTTAAATTTTGTTGTTCCTACTTTTGTTTCTGAAGAAAAAATTTGACTGAGTAGCCCCGACTCTCCTAAAAGTATCTCTGTAAACCAGGTTGGCCTCCAACTCAGAGATACACCTGACTCTTGCTCCCACATGCTGAGATTAAAGGTTGTTCAACATTCCAGGTTTTTTTTAATATATATTATTGTGTGATGGCCCTATAGTATATGTTGTTTTGCTGAGCTTTACCCCCCAGTTTCAATTTTGAAATTCAGTAGAAGATACCAATCTCTTCCTAGATGTAGGGTATGTGCATCTGAATCATTAGATTACAGTTGTGTGACATTCTTCTTGCTTTTTGTGTTTTTTTAATGAATATGATTCTTTTGTCTATATACGTGGATATGTACTACATGTTCACCTGTCCTCACATTAGTCCAAAGAGAGTTTTAGAACCCACAAGCTTGGAATAATGAACAGTTGTGTGAGTCCCCCATATAAATACTGATAATTGAGCCCATCTATATGCAAGACCAGTAAGAGCACACAACTTCTGAGCCATCTCTCCTTCCCTGTGTTGATTATTTATGATCATCATTGATATTGCTAATGTTATCTTCTTTCTATTTGTACCTCTTTAAATGTGCAGTTCCTATTTTTAAGATTTATTAAAGTAGTTTAAACTGGACCAAAACAGTTTTCTGGAAGATTAATACAGAACTGGAGTGAATGCCGAACTCTTTGTAGGATCTTCAGTAAAAAAATCTCTGAGTTCATCTTATCTGTTTTGTTTGTTTGAATGGAAGATTCAGTGCAGATACAGTTAGCATAGACTAGGCTAACTTTCACCTCAGAAGCACACATTCCTGCTTCTACCTTCCAAGTTCTGGGATTAAAGGCATGAGCCAATATACCCAGCTTACAAATCTTCCTTATAGTTATTAATTGTTCATACAATTTCTCAGATGTGTGCTCAGTACTGTTGAAATGTTTGCTTGTCTCTCTATCTCTGTTAATAGGCATTTCTCTTGCAAGGTGATATCCTGTTCAAAGCATTCAGAAAAAAAAAGAGATGAACCTCCTATTCAGTTTCTTTGTGAAATAAGTTGATGGTTTCATTGTAATGTCTGAGTTATAGAATATGTGTAGCACTCACAAGAATTATGTGGCTATATTGTCAAAGAAGCACACATTTACAATGTTGTATCATGCTTTTTGTTTTATACATATGGATGGCATATTTATGTATGGCATATTTTAGAATGCAGTGACCTATAATGATGTACATGTTGACATCACTCAGAAAGAGTGGGCATTGATGGATCCTTCACAGAGGAATCTCTACAAAGATGTAATGGTGGAGACCTATATGAACCTCACAGCTATAGGTAATACTATAAATTTTCCTTCACATTTTAAATAAGGGGACAACTGTTTCTTAGTTATTGATGCTCTTCTGCAATTCTGATTGAGAATGAGGAAGAATGAAATGAATAAATCAGATTTGGTTCTAAGGATCACTGAAGATAGTAATGTAAAATTTCCAGTATCCTGTAGTATTTCATACATTTTCTTGTCTTATATTTTAGGCTACAATTGGGAAAATCTTGAAGTTGAAGAACATTGTCAAAGTTCTCAAAAACATGGAAGGTAATTTTCTTGTAAAAGCTGATAGAAATGGACCTCTGGATATATATATATATATATATTATGTAGAAGCTTTAATTAAATGAAACAGTGTAAATAATTACAGCTTAAAATACATTGATGATCATTAAATGCTCATAAACACACATACCTCAATGGCAGGTAAGTGAATTGTGTTTGCAAGTGATTCTTTTAAGAAAGAAGACAAAAAAATGCCTTATGGCAAATCACCATTTGAATAATAGCATCATGAAAGTTATGCTATACAAATGGCAATCCATTTAGTTTCATATTATTTCATATTACAAAAGATATACTCATTGAAAATGTGATAAGAATATATACACAACCTTGTAATAAGCAAATAGTCCATAGTATAGTTGCTCATATAGTTGTTCTGTCTTTACTAATTTCAGTTAAATAGGTAGTTAGAGTCAAGAGTAAAGGGGTGGTTGTTGTAGAGAAACATTATTCCCTATACCACATGTTGATGAGGAACAGAAAGTCCAACTGTAAATGAAATGTGGAAATATTCTTGTTGTTATTCTTTCTTTAATAGTTATATCATATGTCACTTTGAATACCAGCCACAAAATCATAAGGACATGGAAGAAGCAATGTACATCTATCAATTTCAGAACACGTACAAGACATGTAGTAGTCCTATGTTGAGTAAACTTCTTGAATGTGATTCAAGTTTACAAACAATTGGTTTTCCAGCTTCATTGAGAATATATCAACAAACATACCCTAGAATGGCCCTATGAGTTCTAGGACTATGTAAATGCTTCTGTTTGTTCTGGTTCACTTTGAAAATGCAGCATGACTCACAATATAGGTAACTTTATCAATGGAACAAGTGGCATAAATGTCCAAATTCTCCTAGTTCTCTTCAAATATGTTAAAAACCTCAGAGAACAATGATGCCACAAATATGAGCCAGGTAATAAAGGTTCTTACCATCAAGGCATATTCAAATATGTAAAGTCATCCTTAATGTACGGGAACAACATTAGTGTAAACAAGTTAAAACCTTAAGATCTGAGTTCTCTTTATACTTAGACCAAATTGTAAAATTAATTCATGCAGATATAAATACTCAACAATGTACTGAATGTGGTAAAGCTTTTAAATGTTTCAATTATTCTTGCAGGCATGAAAAAAGTCATACTACAGAGAAATCAAATGAATATATTGAGTGTGGTAAAGCCTTTGAATATCATAGTCATCCTCAAAGGCATGAAAAAACACATACTGGAGAGAAACCCTATGAATGTAAACAATGTGGTAAAGCTTTTGTACATTCCTGTCATCTTCAAGTACATAAAAGAACATATACTGGAGAGAAACCCTATGAATGTAATCAATGTGGTAAAACCTTTACACGGCCATGTAATCTTCAAGTACACAAAAGAACTCATACAGGAGAGAAACCCTATAAATGTAATCAGTGTGGTAAAGCCTATGCTCACCGGAGAGCTCTTCAACTGCATGAAAGAACACATACTGGAGAGAAACCCTATGAATGTAAACAATGTGGTAAAGCTTTTGTACATTCCTGTCATCTTCAAGTACATAAAAGAACATATACTGGAGAGAAACCCTATGAATGTAATCAGTGTGGTAAAGCCTTTACACAGCTATATACTCTTCAAGTACACAAAAGAACACATACAGGAGAGAAACCCTATAAATGTAATCAGTGTGGTAAAGCCTATGCTCACCGGAGTGCTCTTCAACTGCATGAAAGAACACATACAGGAGAGAAACCCTATGAATGTAAACTATGTGGTAAAGCTTTTGTACATTCCGGTCATCTTCAAGTACATAAAAGAACACATACTGGAGAGAAACCCTATGAATGTAATCAATGTGGTAAAGCCTTTACACAGCTATATAATCTTCAAGTACACAAAAGGACACATACAGGAGAGAAACCCTATAAATGTAATCAGTGTGGTAAAGCCTTTGCTCAACATAGTGCTCTTTATTTGCATGCAAGAACACATACTGGAGAGAAACCCTATGAATGTAAACAATGTGGTAAAGCTTTTGTACATTCCAGTCATCTTCAAGTACATAAAAGAACACATACTGGAGAAAAACCTTAAGAATGTAATCAATGTGTTAATGCCTAGTCACAACACAGAGCAACCCTGTAACTGTAAAACTTTTAGTGTGTAATTGGTCTCTTAAAGTCTTTGAATATAACATTAGACTTTGAGGATCTGAAAAAAACTCATACCAAAGGCAATCTGAACCTACATGAATTGTTATGATTTCAAGCCACATACTTACATTCAATTACACAAAATTAATTATTTTGGAAAAAAATCTAAACTGTGTCAACAATCTGTTCAAGCATTATAATGTCTCTTTTTGTTTTGTTTACACATGTCAAATAATATGGACAAAAGGCCTATAAATTTAAATGATACGGTAACTGACAGGGTCTTTACATATCCCTGGCTGTCCTGGAACTCACTTTGTAGAGCAGGCTGGCCTCAAACTGATAGAGATCCACTTGCCTCTGATTCCTGAGTACTGGCATTAAAGACGTGCACTACCGTGCCCATCACTTTCCATCTTTTTGAGTTTCTGCTTTTGAAGGCTAACTGACCTACACACTTCTAGAAGACACTTCTCTTCAAATACATGAAATAATAAATTCTGGTGTAAAATTTCATAGATGTAAATATATATATAGGTAAATATATATATATATGTATAAATATATATAGGTAAATATATATATATATATATGTATAAATATATATAGGTAAATATATCCTTCGTTATCCAGTCTGTGTATAATGCCAAAATTCAGGGTTTATCTCAAATCCTTATTCAAGTAGTCTTTGAGACTGGATCATCTCAGCTAGCTCTTCTCAAAATTGCTCTGAGCACTTTGTAGTTCAAAGCTGATCTGTAGATGATGTTTGTCAGCTTAGTGATGTTATTATTGTCCACGTGGAATTGTTGTTGTTGTGGGGCCCCATCTTCTTCCTGGAGACTTCAGTTGATGTTAGGCCTAACCGTGATTTCCTGCAAAAAACTGATAAGAGACTCGAACACAAAGACTATATATGCGACTTTTTAGAATTAGTTAGTACTCTATATGACCATTTATATCTTAACAAAGTTTAAAATGTATATATATCTATATATATTGATCTTGTAAATTTTGATATAAAATTCATACTTTAAGAAAAGTTTAAAGAATCAGAATAGAATCAAAGAGTTGAGATTCGTAATAGAATAGTCCCTTAATTAATTTGGCTTTTCTCCTGTCCCATAGCAGAAGATGGCTCTTTTCCTCTGGCATGATACAGGGAGTTTGCATTTTCCTTTTAACAACATGCTTGAGTTTAAAGAAGGAGAGAGCCATTCTCCAACTCCAAAGTCAGCTTTAAATTTTAATTGAACTGGGACTATTAGAAGTTAAATAGTGTTAAATCTTTAAAGAAAAGCAGAAACAAACATTTAGGAAGACATAAAATTTTTTTAGATAACATACCCATACTCCATTTCACTCTGTTTCTTAGGATAGATGATTTGTTCCTTTTCTTCAGTTGTCTCATTTGTCCAGTGTTCTTCAAATTCGTTAACCTTCATTCTCCTAAAAGACAAAAACAAAAACCTTTCCCCAAGGTTTTTTGGGGATGTTCCTTTTTGACAAGTTATCTGATTAAATGAAAAGGCATGTGTTACTGGTGTAAGTTAGTTTAAATTGGATGTTTACGATAGTTGATGAACTATCACCTCCTCTAATTAAGAGGTCTCTCTTGTTCAAATCGAACCTTTATCAATTTTGATGGTACCCACAGCTTATCTTCTCCTGTAGAAATAAAAGCAAAACCTCGTCCCCAACGTAACACATACCCTGGTTTCCATTCTGAGGTCAGCACATCCTTAAAGTATATAGGTTGATTTAATTCTGTAGTTTTTTCTATTATCCAATGTCTCTCTGCAGCTGTTGTTCCTTTCTCATTGGCATTGAGAAAATTCAAAGTTAATAGAGCATTATGTAGTCTATTTCTGGGGGTTTTTGTTACTCCTTTTTGTTTATTTAGCATATCCTTTAGAGTTCTGTTTGATCTTTCTATAACTGCTTGACCTGTAGGATTATGTGGTATACCTGTAACATGGTTTATATTATAATAAGCAAAAAACTGTTTCATTTTAACAGAGACATATGATGGAGCATTATCAGTTTTGATTTGTGCAGGTATACCCATAATGGCCATAACTTCTAGCAAATGAGTGATTACAGAATCAGCTTTTCCAAATTCTGCAAAGTGAAACACGTCCATCTGCCAGATTTCATTCCTTTGAGTACCTTTTGGGTTACATCCAGCTGGTAATGGCGTTTGATTGTAGAAGGAACAAGTAGGACATTTCTTTACTATTTCTTTGGCTTGTTGCCAGGTTATGGAAAAATCCTTTTTTAAACCTTTACTATTTACATGATGTTTTTTATGAAATTCTGAGGCCTCCAGCACATTTCCTATCAATAATTTATCAATCTCATCATTGCCTTGTGCTAGAGGGCCTGGCAGACCAGTATGGGATTGGATGTGAGTTATATATAAAGGATGACTCCTTTTTCTGATTGTATCTTGTAATTGAATAAATAATGAAGTTAATTCTGAAGCATCGTGGATAAATTCTGCAGTCTCAATATCTAATACTACTCTTTCAGCATACTGAGAGTCAGTTACTATATTGAGAGGTTCTGAAAAATCCATTAATACCAACAGAATAGCATACAATTCTGATTTTTGAACTGAATTATAAGGACTTTGAAACACTTTACTTAAATTTTCTGATTTGTAACCTGCCTTTCCTTGTTTGTTGGCATCTGTATAAAATGTACGAACTCCAGATATGGGTTTTTTCCTCACAATTTGAGGCAAGATCCAATCAGCTCTCTTTATAAGATCAATTCTATTGCTTTTGGGATATTTGCTGTTAATTTCTCCCAAAAAATTACTACAAGCTTTTTGCCAAGCTTCATTTTCTATCCATAATTTTTCAATGTCCTCCTTAGTTAAAGGTACGACAATTTCTGCTGGGTCTATTCCTGCTAATTGACGAAGTCTCAATTTTCCTTTCCAAATCAAGTCAGAGATTTTTTCCACATAAGTTTTTAATTTTTTATTTGGTTTATTTGGTAAAAATATCCATTCCAATATAATATCTTCCCTTTGCATTAATATTCCTGTTGGGGAATGCCTAGAAGATGCAATCCAGCTTTGGATCAATACGATCTACGTGCCCTTCATGTACTTTCTTTTCTACCAAGGCCAATTCTTTCTCAGCTTCAGGTGATAATTCTCTTGGACTATTTAAGTCCTTATCACCTTCTAAGGTTTTAAACAAATTATTCAGTTCATCATTTTTTACCCCAACAATAGTTCTTAGATGAGAAATGTCTCCAAATAATCTTTGAAAGTCATTAAGAGTCTGTAGTCGATCTCTCCTAATTTGCACTTTTTGAGGTCTAATTTTTTGAAGTTCTATTTTATATCCTAAATAATTAATAGAATGTCCTCTTTGTACCTTTTCTAAAGCAATTTGTAATCCCCAGCAAGGCAAAATTTTCTTTACTTTTTCAAACATTCTTTCTAAAGTATCTGCATTTGAATCAGCTAATAAAATGTCATCCATATAATGATAAATTATAGATTTAGGAAATTTTTTACGTACCACTTCTAATGGCTGTTTTACAAAATATTGGCACAAAGTTGGGCTATTCAACATTCCCTGTGGGAGAACCCTCCATTGAAATCTTTTAACCGGTTGAGAATTATTATAAGTAGGCACTGTGAAAGCAAATCTTTCTCTGTCTTTTTCTTGTAAGGGTATTGAAAAGAAACAGTCTTTTAAATCAATAACTATGAGAGGCCAGCCTTTTGGTAACAGAGTAGGTAAAGGAATTCCAGATTGTAAAGAGCCCATTGGCTGAATTACTTTGTTAATTGCTCTAAGGTCTGTTACCATTCTCCATTTACCAGATTTTTTTTTATAACAAATACAGGAGAATTCCAAGGGCTGGTTGATTCTTCAATATGATGAGCATTTAACTGTTCTTCCACCAGCTCTTGTAAAGCCTGGAGTTTCTCTGTTGTTAAAGGCCATTGCTGAACCCATACAGGCTTGTCTGTTGACCATTTTAAAGGTAGAGCTGTTAATGTTTTTGGAAGATTATCAGTTGTTGTGCCCTGTTCTTGTATGACATGGATGGCTGGTGAGCACTCATTAGAATAATATCTTTTAATATTTCTCTCAGAAACATGTACTAATTTATGATTTGTTTCTGAGATTGGAGGGATATTAATCTGAGTATTCCACTGTTGTAATAAGTCTCGACCCCACAGGTTCATAGCTATGTTAGCCATATATGGTTTTAATTTTCCTTTCTGTCCTTCTGGACCTATACATTCAAGCCATCTTACACTTTGTTTCACTCTAGATAATGTCCCAATTCCTAAGAGTTGAATGTTTACCTCCTGAAGAGGCCAAGTTGGATGCCAGAATTCTGGTGCAATTATGGTAATGTCAGCACCTGTGTCTACCAAACCAGACAACAAAACACCATTTATTTTTATTGTTAGTTTTGGTCTTTGTTCATTAATAGAAGTTTGCCAAAAAATTTTCTTTATGTTTTTTCCTGTATTTCCTATTTTCTCTGTTTCATCATCTCGACTAACATGATTTATTCCAATAGACATTTGGTTATTTAGTTGCTTTGAGTAGGGGTTTCCTCTACAACTGCAGGAAAGGTTTGAACTGGATTTACTGTGGGGGCCTGCCTGAGGCCCCTCTGGGAGTTTCCCGAAGCTCGAGGCAGAGGGTTACCCTGTCTGTCCCTTGTTGATCTACATTCGTTGGTCCAGTGTTTTCCCTTACCACACCTTCTGCATACTCCAGAAGGAAGGGGCATTCTGTTGCCAGTGTTCCTTGAATAAACATTATTTCTAGGAATGACCTGTTTACAATCCCTTTTCAAATGTCCTTGCTTTCCACATCCAAAACATCTAACATTGCTCAAACCTTTTGAAATTGCTTTTCCTACCCACATATCATCATGGTCATAAGCCTCTACATTAACTGTATCTCTAATCCAATCTTCCAAAGGTGCAGATCTTGCCTTTAACGGCCTAATTATTCTTTTGCACGTTGCATTTGCATTCTCAAAGGCTAAAGATTCAATTATTATCTGACTAGCCTCTGAATTCAGGACCATTTTTTGTACTGCTGAAGTCAATCTTTGTAAGAAGTCTGTGAAAGATTCTTTGGGGCCCTGTATAACCTTTGTAAATGACTCAGTTTTTTTTCCTGGTTCTTCAACTCTGTCCCATGCATTCAAAGCTGCCGTTTTACATAGAAGTAGGGTTTGGACATCATATGAACATTGTGTTTGTACTGAAGCATATTGGCCTTCGCCAATAAGCTGATCCTGGCAGACTTGTATTCCGCTATCCCTCCATTGTCTTTCTATATTTTTAGCCTCATTACTGAACCACATTTTCCACTGGAGATTTTGTCCGGGTTCAAGAACAGCCTGTGCCAATTCCCGCCAGTCCTTTGGTATAATCCTATTACAAGTTGACCAGGTGTTTAACATTTGCTTTACATATGGGGAGTGCATGCCATAAGA